AGCATTCAGCAACAAAACGGACGATCGAAACGAACACTTACCTGTCAAAGAGTCATCCTCTCCATCTCCTGCTTCCCACATATTGAAGTAAACACTATTGTTCGAATCCTGACGACTATCAAGTGTGTGTAGTTTGGTCGGAACCTCATTTACCGGATCACAAGACTTATTCGAACCAGGTCCCCGATCACGAGTCGGACGAGGAGGCACGGCAAGGGTCTTGGTTTTGGCCAAGACTAGCATTTCCGAGACGTGAGACACAAGGCAACACAGGACGGGACAGTAACAAGACAAAAACAATTCAATTCAATTCACTGAGATGAAGGATGAGTCACAGAGCAAAAGTGCACCCAATAGAAGCAGAGCAGTGACAAACAAAATCCACATCCAAGTCGCCAAGGAAGGCCATGGGATGGGTGAGGGTGGTTGAGTGTAGGAAATATAGTGGATCTGTACCACAATCGCTGCAGAATTGGATAACAGATGTCAACCCATTCCCTCTCTGACTTAATGCGATCTAATACGCCTCGGAGCATATATAAAATCTACGTGTTTGTACATATTACGTGGGAAAACTGGGTTTGTATATATCAGAGAAGAAGAACACGTTCGATGTGCTATGAATGCGCTGTTGTGTTTCAAGGTTTGTGAACAAGGAGGATCGGCGCTACGGTTCACTCGGAACATGCAACGGAAACCAAATACGGCACAGCAAAGGACAAAATTCAATTCCGAATTCATGGTGATACTACTGGTTGCCCCAGCGTATTCCCAATATACTTTTTATTACACGTCTGTGTGGTGAACAGTAGACGGGAAAATCCCAATAATCACGATTACCTGCTTTTCATTAAAAAGTTTATATGGGTTGGCTGTGTTGGGGATTGCTAAAATCCGACACAGGTTAAAATGAAAATGACAGTACGGGGAAGTCCGTGCTTTGGACAGTACACAGACAAGGGCCACCAAATTCTACTTTGGAACCTTTTCGACACTGCGGATGCACAAAACGAGACTTTGATAGGGCAAGTAGAGAAGCCGTCGTACAGGTGATTCACTCAATCGGAAACTGGTGCTGTTCATTTGCACTTTTATCCGATGAACCTATGTTTTAAACGGCAAGCCGTGATCGCAAACCCCAAACCCGTTCCACACCCTCCCAAACGTTCGGTGCAGCTGGTGTGAAAAGTCGATCGCTGCTCGTGAAAAAAAAACAGATCGGTTGTCATTCCTTGGAAGATGGACTTAAAGGACGGTTTGGCTGAACGCGTCAAGGTCTGAGTTTTCGGGAAACATGAGAAGAATTCAAGCGTCTTATTCCCCTAGAGCGAAATTCGGATGGTTCAAATGTGAAAAAAATGCGTCAAGTGTTTCCTTCAAACCGTATCGGTTTAGGACAAAAGCGGTGACCACGGCGTAGCTGAGACATAAGGTGAAAATGCTCGCAAATCAATTCGGCAGCACTCGAATAGTTATTCCAACATACAATGCATGCTGTCTCGTCTTTCCCTTCACACACACTAATCATTTTGTGGGGTAGAAATGAAGGAGTCAGGGTGATGGAAACGTGCGGAAGTCGTGGTGATTGAAGTGCTCCTTTCTAACACAGACATCGTAGACTGAAAATGTAATCTGGTCTGATGAGACCGTTAGCTATTTTGACGAAGGAAATAAGAGGAAAAGTGTGTTGCCAACTGAGTCCAGATTTATGAGAGCAGCGAACAGTGGAAACAGAGCTGTTGGGTTTTCCTCACCGGATGCTCAGATCACTCGAGAGGATGCGTGAATGAGCGTTTGAGTTGCGATCACCATTTGACACAGTTTCATCGGATAAAACGGTAAATGCACCATCATCATAGCTAAAATTTCTAACCGGCAGCGTGCTTCCATCTTGGCGAATTATCTGGTAGACTATTTGAAAAACATCCATCAACTTATCAAGGACCCGACGGCATTCAGTTTATATTCATTGCATACAATAGAATGCACTCCATCAAATTTTACGACAGACAANNNCATTGCAATATTGTGATATGTGGCAAATGCTGTTCGACCCAGTCTCATCAGTGGATGAAGGCACTCCAATGAACTAGGTAGCAACAAATTAGCGTAACACGCGTCTCCGGTCGCCAGTTAACGGAACCGGAAGTGACGGCATCCTCCGACCATGCTAAGATGTCAAACTCATAGCAGGCATGGCAGGCGCCGGTCGATTTTGGCNTTTGGCAGGGTATGGGAATACGGAGATTTCAGATACAAAGGTGATGGATTAAAAAAACTCCTAATGCAGATATTTTTATTACACACATTTTGTGTGGTGAACAGTAGACGGGGCGAACAACATAGTTACGAAGACCTGCTGTTCATTGATGGAAACCGGTAGCCTAAGCCCCGGGACTTGGGGTGGTGAACCGCATAACGCCCCGATAGGTTAGGCGTGGTTTTGAACCGGACGGCAGCAAAGCTGGCTACCATCGAAGTTGAGTGGCGGTGGTGGGGTTCGAACCGCAGATATGGGGATTGTGACACGGTGGACTTGTCGTTTTGAGAAGGAAAGTAACTACTAACCGCAGTACTACCGGAACCGCAGTCGAAAGAGCACTGGTAACATGAACGGTTTCCGCTGACCGGATATGCCACTGGGGGAAGTTACTGCGGCGCTCTGATTACCAGGGTGATAGGATGAAACCTGTAGGATAACATCGAGAGACGATCCCACTTCGGGATTACGCACGCATATAACTTTCACTGGGGATTTACTTCTCCCCTTCGATCGGCCAACTTGTTTAGTTTTAATCCGATCAGAAATATTTGAGACTTCTTAGGCAGAGGAATACGTTTAATGCTCGTAGTTACCCAATATACCATTTTTGCAGCACATCTGAAAGAGATGTGAGAGAAACCCTTATGGGGAACTAACGTACGAATACCAACAGGAGAGAAGGACATCCCAAACGGCAAGAGTTGATGACAGGGTTCGAATAAAGAATTGGAAGCAGTGTCACAAGATTAAATCCATAGCCCTTACTGGCATGACCATGATAGTTGGTGGAGTTACTAAACGCAGAGACAATGATATGAGTTAATGGTAGACGTGTATCTTGCTTATCCTGTGTTTACGATGAAGTCTCGGGGTTGTAACTTCAAAGAATACGGAATCGATTGAATGCCTTGGGAGTAAAGTCGTTTGATCGTCAGTATGTGTAGGTGAACCCGGACCCGATTCAGTGAAACGAAACCTCTTCTTGAAACATTGGGTCCCCTTTATCCAATTCGTTAGAACCGAAAGAAGACAAATACTGCGAGATGTTAACATTTCTTTTAATCTCTTCAGTCGCT